TGAATTCAAGATAGCTTTCAACAACAGGTTTCAAGCCTTACAGGACCTACTGAAAGAAGAAGAAAGTACCATGGAGGACAACTGGAAAGGTGTCAAAGAAGCATTAACTTCAACGTGTCAGAAGGCTCTGGGCCTCAAGAAGCATCATCATAAGGAATGGATCTCTATAGAAACACTGGACAAGATCAAAGAAAGGAAGAACAAGAAGGCAGCAATTAACAACAGCCGAACTCAAGCAGAGAAAGCCCAAGCACAAGCTGAATACACAGAAGCAAACAAGCAAGTGTAGAAGAGCATTAGAGGTGACAAGCAGGAACACGTGGAAGGACCAGTGACGACAGAGGAAAAGCCTCTACGGAAGGAAATATGTGACAGCTATATGACAACAAAGAAATCAGCAGGGAAATATGGTAAACCAGAGCAACCAGTCAAGAACAAAGAAGGCAAGCTAATCACTTAGATCCGAGAACAGAGGAATAAGTGTAAAGAACAATCTGAAGAACTCTTGAATAGACCAGCTAGACTGAATCCACCGGACATAAAAGTAGCACACACAGACCTATCTATAGATTTCACTCCACCAACGATCGAAGAAATCAGGATGGCCCTCAAACAAATCACAGGTGACATATTAGTAGGACCTGACAGTATACCAACTGAAGCACTCAAGTCAGGTATAAAAGTAATTGCAAGTATTCTTCATGTTCTATTCAGGAAGACTTTGGAGAAATAACAAGTGCCTACAAACTGAAAAGAAGAACACCTCATTAAAATACCAAAGAAAGGAGATCTGAGAAAATACGAGAAATACAGGGGCATTACATTACTATTGGTACCAAGAAAAGTTTGCAACAGAATGTATATGAACCATATGAGAGATTCCGTAGGTGCCAAGCTTTGAGATCAACAGGCTGGATTCCGTAAGGATCGGTCGTGCACAGACCAAACCGCGACACTACGGATCATTGTTGAACAATTTGTTAGGTGGAACTTGTCACTATGCATAAACTTCATTAACTGATATAAGGCGTTTGACAGTTTGGATAGGAGGACCTTATGGAAATTTCTTCGACACTACGATGTACCTGTAAAAATCTTCAAAATCATTCGGAATTCATACGACGGACTACACTACAAAGTGATGCATGGAGAACAGATGATAGATGCATTTTAAGTGAGGACCGCAGTCAGACAAGGCAACCTACTCTCCCACTTTCTCTTTCTTCTGATGGTTGATCGGATTATGAAGACTTCGATATATGAGGGGAAGCACATAATACACTGGGCATCTTGGATGCAACCAGACGATTTTGACTTCTCAGATTGGTATAGCTCTTCCATACTAAATACAGGTGAGACAGCTAGTGTGGCAGCAGCTTCCGCATCGGTAAACCTCAACATATACAAAAGAAAAAACAAGATCCTGAGATAAAACACAGAGAACACTAGCATAACCACACTTGATGGAGAAGCCCTGGAATATGTGGAATCTTTCACATACCTCGAAAGTATCGTCGATGAACTAGGAGGATTTTTTGCATACGTAAAGGCGGAGATTGGCAAAGCAATGGCCGCATTCTAACAGCTGTAGAACATCTGCAACTCAAAACAACTGTCAACCCATATCAAAGTCACAATCTTCAATACGAACGTCGAGACAGTCCTACTGTATGGAGCAGAAACTTGGAGAACTACCACAAGCATAATCAAAAATGTACAAGGATTTATAATCAATTGTCTATACAAGATACTTAATATCCGTTGGTAGAACACCATCGGCAACAGCCTACTGTGGGAGAGAACAAACCAGCTTCCAGTTAAGAGGGAAATTAGGAAAAGACGTTGAAAGTGGATAGGACATACATTTCGGAAATCATCAAACGGCATCACGAGGCATGCACTAACTTAGAATCCCCGAGACAAACGGAAAAGTAAGAGGTCGAAGAACACTGTGTTGGGAATAGGAGGAATCTATGAAAAGGATGAATAACAACTGGAAAGAACTGGAAAGAGTTGTCCACGACAGGGTTAGCTGGAGAGTGACGGTGGGTGGCCCATGCTCCTCCGCGAGGGGTAATTGGTAAATAAATAAATAAATAATCTGATATTTAATGCTTTTGGTTAGTTATATCGAAGTTGAATTACTTCTTAAACATGATCAATGAGTGAAAATTGTTCAGCTACTCAAAAAAAGATATGGAAAATGAATTTGACAATTTATGAAGGATTTTTTCAGTGAGACTATAATTTGTAGACGAACAGGTCTTGGATTTTAGCGCGAAACTCATTCATTCATTTGGCTAAATAGAATTTGGAATTTCAGCTGATGACAGTTCGTGAAGAAAAACATAAATCTAATCTCTAGCTTTAGCCATCAACTGTAAATCACAATTTTTAACCTTCGAACTGATTTATAACCCTCATTTAAACTTAATAAGTAGGTGGATTTTCTCAAGACCACTTAGGCGTCGTTCGAAGGTCGTCCATAAATTATAGTCTCACCGTTTTTTTTTCATTAAAAATTGTTTTCATAATATTTAATTAGATTTATTTATTAAACAGTGACTATATCAATCTACTTTTGAGTAAACTCCTCCCAGGAGGTCCACTTATCGACTTAGAATACGCAGATGATATAGTCCTGTTTGGTGAAGACGCTGATAAAATGCAGAATCTTTTGGTAGCACTAAGCAACAATGCCAGAATGTTTGGAATGCGCTTCTCTCCCTCTAAATGCAAGTTGTTGCTTCAGGACTGGTTTGCGTCAACACCTGAACTAAGGATAGGAGGTGACGTAATCGAACGCGTTGACAACTTCACTTAACTTGGAAGGCTGATCAGCCCTAATGGGTTGGTGTCTGACGAAATCTCAGCACGGATTCGAGAAGCTCGTTTGGCATTTACCAACTTACGTCACCTATGGCGAAGATGAGATATCCGTCTATCAATAAAAGGACGAGTATACTGCACGGCAGTCCATTCTGTTTCCATTTACGGCAGCGAAACATGACCATTAAGAGTAGAAGACACTCGTATGTTGCTAGTATTTAACCACAGATGCCTCAGAAATATTGCTGGCGTCCGCTGGGATCATCAGATAAGTAATAATGAGGTTAGACGCAGGGTATTAGGGAATGATGGTAAATCACTTGATGAGGTTGTGAATCTTCATCGACTGAGATAGTTGGGTCACGTGTTACGTATGCCCGGACACCGATTACCACGATGTGCAATGCTAACCGGTGTTCGGGATTGCTGGAAGAAATTTAGGAGCGGCCAAACCAAAACGTGGCATTAGTACTTGAAGTCACTATCTTGTAGTTTGAGCCATGTTGGTAGATGCAGACTACTTGGTTGGAGTCCGCGTGACTATCGTAACCAATGGTTGGAGACTCTTGGTTACATGGCTCAGAATCGATCACAATGGCATCGGTGTAACACTCTCTGTCTTCCCTTAAACTAAGAGATTAAATTCGCTTCATACCTTTCTTTCTACGAACCAATTTTTCTTCTTGTACTATATCTCTATATGCAATCTTTCTTTTATATATTGGCACCTCTGAATTAACTACTTTTATGAATCTGGTGTCCATCTTGTTGTGTTAATGAGGTATGGCAACTTGGACCGATGCATATATGTGTCTGGTCCTACGTTGTAGCTGACTGACTGACTGACTTTTGAGTAAATGAAAGATTGAAACACAGTGGTTCATTTATAGTAAATTATTAACAAATAAAATGTTTTTTTAAATTGTCAGTAATATTGTCTCATTGTAAAGTTAGTATAGTTTTAACATAATATACAGATCCTTTTCGGAGTTAACGATAAATCCCCAAAAGCCCTGGTACAGCCGAGGATAAGAATAGTCAGCTTTCCCTCTGAAAATGCTCTCACATGACCACGTGCATACAACCATTGACAGGGAAGTCCTACTCTTTACCTTCTCGGGGTAGAGATGTTGTTTACGAAATTGAAACGACGAAAAGTGAGTGTCCGGTGTCTTGTCCAGGTTGGTGGATACAGAGGATTCACATAGGGGAGCTGGAAAACCCTGATTCTAAACCAATAGTACACATGCGCTCTAGGATCATGAGGAAACAAATGGTGTATGAACCTGTTGTTAGTCGCTGGCTAATATGGGACTGCATCTCGTGACGTTGCTTCACTGCCTTGTGGATCAAACCTTTAGGTTGAAGGATTCGGGTGTGGTCCCTTAACAAAACCACCTGCTTCGGTTTGGGCACCTGGGTAGTATCCCAGCCCTCACACAAAGCGAACGATTTATATGGCGCTTATGTCTTTGATGCCTAGCTATATCAATGTTTATGTCAAAGATAAATTTACTATTTTACCATTCTATGATATTTGTATGAGTATTCTAAAAGTTTTTGAATTGAAAGATGCTATCCTTGTTAAATAAAATGGTAGCGTGGACTAACAATGTATAGATGGTTTATATTTATTAGTAATCTATATTCAGTGGTGTACACTGTTCTAATCTATTCCGTTCATGAAATCTAACTGAATTAATTTCAAAAATAGCTCTTTTTTATAGTACTCACTTGTTTTACTTTTTTGTAATTCACTTGAATAGAATTTAGTTTATTCACTGTAGGATATATGGAGAATTAAGGTGTATTAAACATTTAACTTATATATTTATCTCATCTGTCAAATATTGTATTCATGAAAATGGATAAATGTGAAGTGAATTTATCATTTCAACATTAATACATTTCAAAATGAAAAAAGACAATCAAATTTATTTGCTCTAAATTGTTAAAGATTTTAAGATTTCTCTAGAAATGACAAAATTAATCGTATTAAAATGAAAGTGAACTGTGAAATAGATGATAAATAATTCACTTAATTTTACTATACTACTTACTTCTACACACATAGCCCCCCCCCTTCCACCTTCATTTTATACTATCATATATTTTATTACTGAAACTTTTTTTGAAAAAAGAAGTGTTACAAAACATACTACTTAAGGCTCATGACCAATAAGGGTGTCAGTAAATAATTCCTTACAAATTATCTAGTTAAATGAAATGTAAAGAGCAAACAAAAGAATAAGAATAGGAATTAATCCTAATGTGTGAAATTTTTTAGTTTATTGTATCATTGTATTAAAACAATTTTTTATTAACAATTATACTACTGCTAACACTACTCGTGTCACTACTACTACTACTACTACTACTACTACTACTACTACTACTAATACTACTACTACTACTACTACTACTACTACTACTACTACTACTACTACTACTACTACTACTACTACTACTACTACTACTAATACTAATACTAATACTAATACTATACTAATACTAAGATATATTGTTTACTTAATTCATGAATAAGTATCAGATTGCTGTGTGGATATTTTTTTTTAACCATACTGAAATGCATTAGTTTTTATTATTTATTGTTACAAAAAATAATTTTTTTGTTTAAATGTTTAATTTTTTAAAACATTTCAAGTTTACTACTAATTGAAAAGTAAATAAAAGTAGACTTAAACAATCATTGAATAAAATAACTTAACAAAATTGTGTTATAATGTTATGATATACATGATGGTAAAACAGAAAAAAATATAATTTTTTGGGGGGTTATATTTTTTTCTCTCCATTTTCATAGAATTCATAATGTCTACTACAATCAACTTAAGCAATGTCTTCAATATGAATAAAATAGGCGTCTAAGTCTGAGTTTTTGCGGAGAAACCTTATTCAGCTGTATATGTATATATATATATATATACAGTTGAAACTGTCTGTGTCCAAATTTTAGTTGAGTAATAAATTCCAATTTATTCAAATAATTTGGTAACATATTGTTCCGTCTCGAAAATAATGTCTAAAATAAATGTTTCAATTATTATTTATTTATTTTTTGTTTTTTTTGTTTTACTATTATATTTCTATTTAATTAATAACCATATGGTTAAATTATTCTTAAAGTATCCAATGAAAGTTAACTCTGAATAGTATAGTGATATAATAGAAATAATTTGTTTCTATGAATTTTTCATAATTTTTAATGACAATTTGTGTGTTTTTTTTTCAAACACAAAAATAACCAGAAGAACAACGACAACAACAATGTTTATTTGTTTATGAAACATTTCATATAATTTATAATCTTAAACAAGGTGTAGTGTCGATTTTGTTAAGTTCATATTACCTTATTCTAGCTTTCGGACAGCCCATTTTATTCACACTACTTGAGTCACATTCTGACCTTGTTATTTATTTGCTTATCAATCTTGACTATTTTTATATGAGCGCGTAGGTGTGTGTACATTTCTCATCCCATTATCTATCACATGTCTGTAACTTACTTTTGTGTAACTATAAATATTGATTAACGCTTGGTTAAATGGGAGTTGGCTTACCAGCCATCTCCACTGAGCGTTGTTTTGCTTCATTCTATTCCATTCACTTTATATACAAAAAATATATATTCAAAAGTCCGTTCTCGTTATTTGACTTATCTAAATCCGTTGTTGACTAACACGATTTTAGTCGATGATGATATACGAGGATAGGCAACATATATATATTTCAATAACAATCATCATTACGATCTAATTGGAGTCAAATCTCGGGTCACTAAAGTAGAGAGCCCTTTCGACAACATCGTTCGGTCTAAAAAACGACAAAATTAAGAGACTCACAAAGGTTTTCATTCTTATATTTGTGATTCAATTTAACTTATGATAAATAAAAATATTGTTATATCCTGATAAGAATCATGAATAATAAAATTTGAGAAGTATTTTTATAATTATTGTATAACATGTCAGTAACTAGATTGTATTTATCTATATTCTACTTATTATAAGGTTCATTTTGATCTATAGATTATTATTATAGGATTTACCGTACTTGATTTATGCCCAGTCTATTAATTACAATCACCTACATTCACAGCCACTTTTGGTTAGATCATGAACAAATGTTGTTTTCTATTTTATGGTACGATATGGTCTGTTTGGTCTGTATATAAACCAAGTATGTTTGAAATATATGATTCATATGGCGGAGGCTGACATTGGTGTTTTGGACTCAACAGGCAGGGCTAGGCAGGAAGGACCGGTCAGGACTCTAGACTGCTCGTACGGGTTTACACATCATTGGTGCGGTTGATAATTCACTGTTCTCTAACTGGTGGTATCATTACGTTATTTATTATTAAGGCACAAGGACAAAATGTATAACAAATATTAGGAATAGTGGAGTTATTATTAATTAGAGATTTTATAAATGATTAAGATAAATGAATGTAATAAGTGAATAAATCTGTGAAATTATTTCAGTTTTGGCAGAATGTTAACTATTTTAATTACAGACTCGAAGCAGCGGAAGCTTAACTTCGAGAATATTACAATTCATCGCTATTACAATGAATAGTTTAACAAAATTATTTTGTGTCATAAGCGACTCTAATTTATTTATTTAACCAGTAAAGTACTTTATCAATCTGTTTGGTACTGTTATACTTAACCTATCATTATTTAAAGTAAATCTAAATCTCAATGATGATTTTAACAACGAGACATTTAAACGCTTATCTTAAGAATCAACTGCAAGTTCCTTCGTCCATTCAGTCAATCATTTTCAAAAGTCATTTACAATGAAACTTCGCAAGGTAGAATGTGGAATACTCAAACTTTCAGTAAAGACAAACTCCACTCTCATTCGCAATTTTGATCCATTACCTGGTGACCGACAAAAATGAAACCGGCATCATGGAGGACATGTTTTGCTTTCTATCGTTTTTGCTGGTTTATATAAAAAAGGGGAGTTTTCTACGACGAAAATACCACTTCATCATTTTACAGTGATGCCAAATGTGGCTCAGTCATCTATGATGGACGAAAAATTATAACATACCAAAAGACATACCTTCGATCAATACTACAATATAAATTATTCCAAAACATTTACAATTGAGTGGCTGAATAAACTAAAACATAACTATTAATACTGACTACGATACATTTAGATGACTTGAAAATGTGTAGTTTATCCTTAGCCCAAACCTCATATCATGTATATATATACATGCCTCTTACACACTCATGTAAATACCTACTTGAAACAATGTTCACGTTGACTGATGACGTATTCAGTAAACCAGAGAACCATGTACCAATTTATATTCGATAATTTTGTTGTTGGATTATATTTTCCTTGAAAAAGCTTGGACCAGATTGCCAGGCGAAACGTTAGATTTACTTCAAATTCTTTCGCTGAGATTTTACAAATACATTCTTCCTCTTTAATATATATATATATATATATAAGTCTTTATTTAGAATGATATAGACAGACAAGATCATTTAGACACTTCCTTAAAAAAGTAGCTGAACACTTACAGCGATAGTTATTTTAACACATATACCTTGCACTCGAACAACAACTAAACACCCAACAATTAGTAAGCTAAACCAGTTTATACATATTTTATGAAATATGAAATGTCAGCTGTCTTCTAATGTGCAATAATAATAAGTTTTCTTTAATCCAACATTGTTACTTAATTATAATAAGATTATAAATAGGAATTTGATTTTAAAGAAAGTAAATTTTCATACATCAGTCTTTTAAGTCGTAAAGTGACTTCATCATATCTTTATTGATTCAAGTTATTGCTGAAATAACAAACTTGGCTAAAATGTTTGCAAAAAATAGGAGAATGAATCCATGAGAACTGAAAATTCTAACAAATTAATCCAATAGTTTATACTAAGAAGTGACCATAGTTAGACAATTAGGGAAAACATAGAATTTATAACCAGTGGATTTCAATCATTTTATATATTAGGCAGTTACCCACCAATGGCATTAGGAGATTGTAGTTCAGTATCACTAATTGTTTGAAGTTGGTTATGAAAACTATCGGGTGTTCAATCAGTGTTATAAATGTGAAGTGTTTGGTGGGAAAACTAAGGGTATTGAACTCGGCCTCTGGTGAGGTTGTGGATGCACTCGAGTAAGTGGTTCTATAATAGAATTAAACAGTGATCTAGTGCTTCGAGTTCTTTAATGGTTGTCTGACAAAGATCAATTTGAATTTTAAAATTCAACAGTCTCCTTAAACACTTAACACTAAAAATAAATTCAACTAGTTACCTCATCGTTCTTAAGCGGTCAAATAGCAATTAAATATTACGAATTAATGGATTAACATAACTGAAGTTCACTTGTAGCTGGAGTTTTCAAGGCAGTTATGTAAAAGCTATGTAATGTGAGAAATATTTGGGGCAGTTAAGCAATGTAATCAATGTATAACCGGTTGATAAGTGGAGATCATTAAATTATGTTGATGCCCATTTATCATTTGAACAGGATACACATAACTGTTGAAACTTCATTATTCTGAAAACTACTGACATTGTTTCAAATTAAATTGATTTTATGCTATTTATAAAATGATAAATTGTTATCGTTTTGCTTATGTTAACCGATAAATTATTTAACCTGTATGTATTTAGTTTTCTGGAAAATAAATCTATGCTCAGCAAACAAAATTTTCTCATTGTTTAATATGTTAGAGAACATTTGTTAAAATAGTATAAAATTTTTTGACAGCTGAATTCAAGAGTCAATCTAAGCTAAACCACCACTTAAAACTTGGAAGCAGTGGATGTCCACTTTTTCCTAGTATGGGACTCCTCAGCAGTGCGCATCCACGATCCCGCACGTGAGAACCGAACCCAAGGCCTTCAGTCTCGCACGCAAACGCTTAACCTCTAGACCGATGAGCTGTCATCCAGCAGTGTTAATGTTTAACTTCAATTGATCCATAGTCATGCGCAACCTATAACCCATTTTCTGAGTTGTGTCCGATTCCCACATGTGGGATCGTGGATGCGTACTGCTGGGGAGTCCCATACTAAGACGAAACGGCCGTTCAGTTCTTCCATGTTTTCATTGGTAGTTCAGCTTAAACCGACTGGCGAATTTAACTGCTTAAAATACTGCAACTTACACAAACCCTCTTAATGAGTATAAAATTTGTTTATTTCGATACCATTCAATAATGCTTATATTGATAACGATACTGGTAAAAAATGCAGTAAAAATATTTAAGAAAGTAAAAGAAAAAGAAATAATGTTGAGGAAAATAATTCAGTTCGAGAAAGATTTACAAGAACTAACACTACCCCAAAGATATAACTAACATTATTGTGAATGTGAATATTTAGTTCCTCAACAAAATTTGTTCTAAATTGCAACTTTTCAGAGGTCTGAATACACAACCTCACCACTAGATTTATATCATGTCTCACCCTATCATTTGTTATCGTTTTTTTCTGTTCTTATTTAGCTTTGTTTTTTTCGCCAGCTAC